TCAGAAATCCATTTTTGCTCACGGATTTTCTGGGATTCCAGGATCGAATGGCATTCCAGGAATGCCGGGGATTCCTGGCGCCCCAGGGCCCCAAGGACAACAAGGAAAAGATGGAGCTAAGGGGGAGCCTGGTGTCAAGGGACCGAGAGGCATGACGGGAACAAGAGGACTAAAAGGAAATCCAGGGTCACTGGGTAAAAATGGTGCACCTGGAATGATGGGAATAAAAGGAGATAAAGGTCATGAAGGGTCACGTGGCAGCAGAGGACCGCCAGGAATCAAAGGGTGTGAAAGGAGAGCAGGGATCTAAAGGAGAGAAAGGAGAAATCGTGAATAGTGCAGTGTCACAGACCAACTGGAAACAGTGTGTGTGGAAAAATTGGAATGATGATAGAGATAGTGGAAAGATTAAGGTACAGAAATATCTAGAAAATGCGATGAAAAATAAAATTGAGTGTTAGAGCCAATTTTTCATGACCATCTCTGAAAGAGACTTTGAGAAATGCCGCCAAACTAAAAATATCAATTCACAATTCTGTGCATTCTTGCAGACAGGAAAAGTACAATGTCATCATCAAATTTTTTCCTTTACCACTCTTGGAAAATATTTTTATTGTACTGACTGTATTCGTGGCATTTTTTATAGGATTGCTTATTCAACAAGGTGCAGTCTGAGACAGCTATTAAAGTCTCATTCCAGGGAAATATGAGAGTCTATGGCACTTCAATTACATGCAACCGGTGGTTCTTCAAAATTAATGGAAATGAATGCAGTGGACCAATGACAATTGAGGCTGCTGTTTACAACAATTGGCGATCTGGGAATCCTGTTCTGTATCATCACAGATCATTTGAGGGATACTGTGAAAACATTCCACAAGGCAGGGTTACTGTGGAGTTATGGGTAGGAAAGTGTTCTGGCCTAACACTGGGTGATGCTTACACTGGATGGCGATCAGTATCCCGGATAATGATAGAGGAAGTGTCTAGAGCCCAGTCCTGATTACTCCTGTCATTTTTATACAATGAATGAAAATCCCTTGATGTTACAGTTTACCAAGAAATTAATTCCATCCTGAGTGCTGTCAACAGGAAGCCTACTTTTCTTGCTTGCAATTGAGGAATTTGTTCATTAAAATGTTGTGTTCTGAACTTCGGTAAGCCTTTTATTGTTAGAAAGTGTTACCTGTTGGTGATAGGAATAAGGTAGGGGGACGGGAGGTCGAGGGGTTCTTAAAAGCTATTATTTTGAATTATCAAATTGATCAGAAAGAAAAATTTGAGCATAATTTTCTGCTCGATGTCATGGGTGACGGTCAGTAGGATAATGATCAAGTTTTCGCGCATAGTTTATGTGAAACTTGCTCTGACTAAAAGAACAAAAGCACCTTTCATCACACGCACAACTTAACTGGCATTAACTGATAATGAAGCAATATAAAGCAAGAAATAATTATATGTGTGGTGTTTTTTCTGTTATTGTTTTTATTTTATTGATATTGAATCAGACCCTTTTGAGAAGCCAGTCTGCAATTTGCTTCATTAAAATGTATCAACAGATTTTGAACACAAGCACGGATCAAACAAACGGTTTCTGAAAAGTTTTGAGCTATTTTGATATCGATCGGGAATATACATGAATATCATAATCGACCAGCGGACAAATGAACATCACATCACAGACCATATCAAACTTATTTTCCTTCTCAATATGACAAGTTTGATCAGAATACGAACATTTGGTGGCCCCGATTTTCCAGCTAGTTTCTCTGAATTTATCTTATTTGTACCGGTTCTAACACGATTTCGAGTGCAATTTGGTGTAAATAGGCACGAGTAAATTTTTCAAAAATGAACAAAATTGTACGAGCCCGTAATGAGAGTGCAATTTGCAGTCATTTAAAATTTACAAGACTTTAATTTATCTTATTTGTGTCAGTAAATAAAATGATTTCGAGTGCAATTTGGTGTAAATAGGCATGAGTAAATTTTTCAAAGATAACAAAATTGCACGAGCCCGTAGGGAGAGTGCAATTTGTAGTCTTTAAAAAATTTACAAGAACTTAGTGACATCAAATTGCAAGAGAAATCATCATATTACTTGCTCTTATAAAATGTTCAGAGAAAAGCGCGCTGTGATTGGTCAGAACGAGTTCACTATATTTCCATAAAGCACGTGCCTTACGCCTCACGAGTGCATTGTTGAGATATAGTGTACGCAGCCAACGTCACCGGTACGAGTGCACGCAATTCACGATACGTTTTCTAAAAGAAATAAAAAAGCTTGTTTCTCGAGCATTGTTTAGTTATATAAGTACTGGGGAATTTTTAAGAACACTCGAGAAGTGCAAGAGGCACTCGCCTTCGGCTCGTGCTTCTCCGTGCTTATATAACTCAACAATGCACTCAGCGCGTTTTTTATTCTTTAAGGATGTACATGGAAAGAAAAACGCGGAAAGTCCAGACAGACGAAATTTTGAAGGCGTGCGGGGGCCATTTGTAATTAATTTGCACTCGTGTTACAACTTTGCACGTGTGTTACATTAGAGTGCAATCGTTTTCAGCCAATCAGAAGCGCGTAAATTTTTCCTGTACATTATTAATTGGATTATACGCCGTGGCGTTTATTACTTTTTTCGGAATTCGAGTGCGGCGTTTAATTTATACGAGGGCAGCGTTTGTTGAAAATCCAATTCATTTCTTGCAATCAATAGTATGGTAACTGACCATTTTAATTTGTAAAAACAGAAACATGTTTTAGCACTTTTCTCATCACCATGGGAGTAATTATCATGAAAATATTTCATACATGCTTAAGAAGATATTGCACAGAGAACACAAAGTATGCGCGCAAAGGAAAAACAAGGCGTGCAACTTCCAGGACCGTCTGGGCAGAAAGCCCAAAGAACTTCGCCGAATTTCTTCCGCTTCCAAACGTCGCTCACCACCCAGCTTGGGGCGCGTTAAAATTCGATAAACGTGTAAGAGCCAAGCCAAAAATTAGTACAATTGCCCGCCTCTAACTACCTAAAAAGCCTGCCTTATTTCCGACATTCGCTCATCATCCGCCGTTGACACATAATGTGCACTGAAGAGGTCGATCATAAGCCTTCGACTAACCGTATTACAATTTAAATAAATCACTAACCGAGCTCAGATTTCACCCGACCCTCCCCACGCCAGTGCAAAGTGTGTCGGTCGAAAGACAGTACAAACCAGTCCTCCCCTTTGGCTATTTTACAACTTCCGTTCCGCAACCGGAAAAACATTAGCCGATCGGAACGA